AAAAATCCACCCGACCACGGGGAGAGAGACACAAACTCCAAATATACAGTCGTCAGGGTCAGGATCGAACCCACGACCTCCTGCACACCAGGCGAGGGAGTTAACATCTCGCCACCACAATCGGCTGGCTCGTCCTGGGCTTTTTCTACAGCGCAATTTCTCACTGACCAGTTTAACACGTAGGCTTTCGCGACCAATGTTATTCATAATCAACGTTTTTGGGTTTAGATCGCGTTATTTATAAATGTGTCGTAACCCTCCAACACCCGACACGGCCAATCAGTAAAAAAGCGTCACGTTGACAAAAGACAAATAGTTCACTGCTTTAGCCCACCGGTGTGTTGAAGCCACAACATTTACAATTTGAGTACGACGTTTCGCTGGTAATTGCATCCAGCATCATCGAGCAATTCGCCAGAATGGTGAGGCTCTGCTGTGTCTCCCGTTCTTATATAGAGCAGCAGCAGCAGGGTGACATCATCATCAGCATTGTGTTATGGGATTGGCTGTCATCATTCTCAGTGGGTCATTCTCACCAGCTTATGATAACCTGGTAATGTCAGCTCAGCTTAGAAGTAATCCTTGGTTTAATTACGTTTGTCAATAAGCGTGCTTCGTTATATAATTGCAAAGGCTGGGTCTGCTTTTGGCAAGGTCGTGTTGTTCCGACAAGGTATTGTTGTGCCTACAGGACATGACTTAAATTAAAAAAATTAAAAGCCAATGCATGTTTTTGCATGTGCTGCACCACAATTCTCTCATGTGAAGCGAGAGTAGATTTACCTAACGCTCTCCTTAGGGAGACAAGGATAGAGACACATTTTTCATTTAAATGTCCGTTCCCTGTGAAAATTTTGTTGTAGATTATTTATGAGTTTTCTTAGTTTCAGTATAGCTTCTGCTGGGAGTGACATCATGCGGTAGGGCATGTTTCAGGCTATGCTTAGACTGGGTAGAGTGGAATCACAGTGGTCAGCACACCTCACCAATTCACACCAAGCGACATGGTGAAGTATGGTCCAATTACTGCGTTCACCCACAACAATGCAGGACAAAACACTTGTTACATCACACGGCGCCACTCCGGCATAGCCTCCTATCTTCTGTTTTCACAAGTTCTGGTAACCTTGTTCAATTCAAGAAATGTATTAACTCCGATCTATTACTCAGTACATAGTGCCGGTTGTTCGTTGGCTGCTGAGTGATGTGGGCCTTTGGGTCTGTGCCGATGGTGAAACATTTTTTTTTTTAAATCACCAACACAATGTGGAGATAACCTTCATCCAGCAGTGGAATGACAAAGGGCTGAACATTATTGTGTAGAGACTGCGGTGACATTCACTTGACAAGGCTGCGGATCCTGCGGAATAATTTACGCTCCCAATTAAATGCGATGCACCCATTGCGAGTGATGTGGTTGCAGTCGATCTGGCCAGGAGTGAGGGCGTAGAACTGGAAGCAAGTCGTGGGAACTGGGGCGAAACTTGGCAGAGACCATCTGTGTAGAAATCCACCTCATCATATATTTTCATGTCGTCCACCGATATGTAATTTTTTTTTGCATTATATTGCTTTGCTTAGGCTTCTCTTCAGTTGCCTGCTCCTGTATATATATTTATTGTATACTACATAGTCCGTAAATTTAAATAACAGGATGTTTGGCCAATAGCAGTTCCAGCATATGAGTTTTGCTTTGTTGGAGGACCCAAAGAAAATCAATGCACCTCCGATTAACACAGTTGGCTACATATGATGCGAAAGAAGTTCAACATACATACAACAGGGGCAGAATATACAAAACCCATACAGAAACGTGCCCGAATCGGGAATCGAACCCAGGATAGTGTTGCGGTGAGGTACAAGGGTTATCACTGTGCAACTCCGGTGCCCAAGCAAAGAAATATAGTTCCAAATAAATTACTTCATAAATGTTGTAAATAAAAGTGATTAATGAGAGATTGCAACTTTCAGGCAGGTACTGAGTGAATTGCATTGATAAAATATCAAATGTATTCACACGTACAGTAAATATGTATATTTCTCCTGCGTTATTCCTTTTCCCATAAAATGCAGACCACACTAATCACGCCTTGCACGGTAATCTGCACATTTTCAAAATTGAATGACATTAATATTAACATCTTCCAATTTAACATTTTATTGGGTCTTTAAGTGGGTAGTGTGTGTGTGTGTTTTCGTTTCCATCTCGCACCAGAAGTAATAATGGACACGTCGGCAGACAATAATTGTGCTGGCATGCATGTACCTGCCGAGTGTGCGCGCCAAGTCCGAAGGGCACGCACACATACATGCACACATACACGCATGCATGCATACATACACACACACACACATAAAACCACATTTTCCTAAGGGCAGTCCATAAATATTCAATATCGTTTTTACTTAAATTACGTTTTCACGCATTGTAGTGAAATTAAATATGTATTTTTTATGAGTTGTGTCTTATAGATTAACTTCCAAAATAACTCAACGGAGTTACGCTTTCTTTGGCTTTTAATTCTCTGCGCTTAATTTGAAGTAGTATGTCATTTGAAATGTATTGCAAGCGACCAGCTCTTCTTCACGCCTCTCACCAAAGCAACGAACTTGGGCTACTCTTGCACGCTGGCCAGACCCACATTTGACGCCACCACACGTGACCTGCCAATCGTCTGCGCTGCACCAATTTCTGCGGCTGGGTGAACGGAGGCGGGGGTGTTCTGGATGGGTGGGGGGTTAAGAGAGTCGTGTTAATATTTTTCTCCAACTGCCATGCCTGGAGATCGAACCGGTGACCTCTAGACTCCCCACGTCCAATGTGCCAACCTTTTTACACGATTGTTGTTGTTGTTGTGTGCACGGCATTCGTTTCCACCCCCCCCCCCCCCAAGAGTTTAACGCAAAGGATTTTTGATAAGCGCTTACCTATTCGTCCACTCAGGGGAGGACGTGCGTTTTAAGGCGAACTTCACTACCCCAACGTGAATGGACTTAGAAAAGTGGCACGTGTTTTTTGCGACAGACAGCGGCGGAATGTAGTGGGCATTACCTACCACGTAAAACATAGCGATGTGGATACAGGAGTACGGAAGGATGCGTTTAAACGTACGTTGGGCGCTTTTAATTTAAAATCAAAATGTGCCGTGGTTTGCGAATTAAAAAGCGCGTGGGAAAAAACATTGCTATTACTTAGATGAGCAAATGCATCTCCTGCCTCTTAATTAACATGTTCATAACGTTTCATTGTTTATTTAAGACTCTTTACTCCGTAAAAAAACTTTTTTTTATGAATCCTGCTCCTGTTCCAGTGATTGCGTGGACAGTAAAAACAAAATGCAAGCCCTGTTCTCTTATTTTTACAATCCATAGCTTATAATATTTTACTATGAGATTTTATCCACTTTGTGAATGAAAGTACCCATTGGGAATTTGCGCATACACTTTTTTAGCAAGAGAATATAATTATTTATTACCAATCGTGATCAATGTAGACCTTTTCTTAAATGAAATATTTCCATTGATGTACAAATGACTGAACAGACTTCTTGCCTCTTTGTGAGACTTTCACGGCTCAAATTGTACTGCGACACATACAGATGTGGCCATGTATTATTCAGCTGTCAAAGTTTGCTTGTGGACATTTAAATATTCTACCAATAGTTATAAATGTCCTCACTCTTATGGATTTCGGTGCATGAACATGCTAGCAAAGTGTGCGCAACTTATTTGTTTAGGATGATTTCGTTCGTTTGTTCGTGTTTAGGATTCTTATGAAGTTTGAAACACACCTGAAATCACGCTCAGTGTTGCGTGTAGGTTTGAGATTGGCATCTTGGATATGCTTTCATTACATGACACTCAGTGGTTTCCTACAATGAAAACAAATTAAAGTGGAAATGTCACTTCACTCCTTGTGATGAATACCTGCTGCCCCACAATCGATTATGTGGTTAGCACGATGATGGAAGTGTATTATCATGTAATCACAGTTTTAACAGGACGTAGGAATGATAATAACAATATAACGATACATATTAGTGAACGTGATTTACAGCTTGTCCATAAACGCATCATCCATTAATAAATAATAGTAATTATACAACAGTTTAAACTCTGTGGTTGCATATTAGTGGACTATAAATGGATAATGAGTATGCCAAAAACATCTAAAACCTTGAGTATGTATGTGTGTTGACCTTCTTTCGCACCGTACGTAGCCAACCGTGCTAGTCGGAGGTGCGAGGAGAAGGGCATAAAACTGAACACAAAAAGATGTTCTAAAGAAATACATTTTGAATCTGGAGAAAAAAGCGATCTTCACCCACACATTCGTTCATTCATCACGTATAGCCAGCAAAGGATCATTGCGCCAAATGTGTGACCTCTCGCGACAGCATGCGCATAAACTGCTCTTGCTGCCACACCGGTGTCAACCACACGTGACAGAAGCGTTCGAAACTTCACTCGAGCTTCTGGCGAGCACCTGGAACTCCCTTGGCATGGTGCGTCGCCAACACCGCTGCAGACGTGTGGTGGAGGTTGATCCACCGTTTTGAGCGTGTGTTATTTTACGGGGAGTGGTGGCGCAGTGGTGAGCGAGCTGCGCTAAAAAACCCGGCGACCCGAGTTCGATTCCTGCTCACGGTCAATAACTGATGAAATATTTAAGTTGGTCCCGGGCCTCCCCGAAGGTCGACTCAAATGAGTACCTGGTGCAGTGTGTTAACATCGCCACTTGAGAGGCAAAGCCGGCCCGGCGTGGTGCTGGCCACCCATCCCCTCGTGTGCCGTGCAGGTCTTCATAGGTGCTCGCTAACAGCAGTCGCACAACAGTCTCTTCAGGCTATATGGGGGATCTTTGTCTTTTTAATCTTCGTGTAATTTTACCAACCCAGCTCAAACCGCTGTCCAATTATAACGAGTTGATAACGAGCGATACTTCTGACGGACGTGCCGTATGACAAGACCGCACGCGCGTTCCGATTCTCGATCCACAGGAGCCGGTTTCATCGTCCTCTTGCTGCTGTGCCGGGGCTGGGTATGCGGCGCGGAGCTGCGTCTCTCCCAGGGAGACTCGCGGGTGCCCAGCCGATACGCGTCGCACTCCGCCCCCGGCGGGGCAGGCGAGGAGGCTCGCAGCGCTGCTGCGGCGGACAGCACTGGCCTGTCAGCGTGGACGTACCAGCGCGGTTCCCACACGCACTGGACGAGCGCCCTGTCGACCGCGACGACTCCCGACTCGGCGTCCTCGCGGAGCTCCGCCTCGCCTACGCCAGAGCCGTCGGCGGAGCCGCCGCGGGAGCGAGGGGCCGTTCCGTTGCCGGCGTCCGCGCCCGCTGCCTCCGTGGACGCGGCTGCACTGCCCTCGCTCGCGGCCTCTAGGACGCCGGGGGCGGACGCGTCGCCCGGGTCGCTTCCCGGCGACGTGATCCAGCCCACGATGGTCTTCGGGGGACATTACGGTGTCTTCAGCACCGCGCTGCCCGCGGAGGCCTCGTCGAGCTCGGGGGCCATGGCCGGGGGGGCAGCGACCACGCAGGCCGGCGACTCGACGCCAGCGCTCCAGATCACCACCTGGACGTACGGCCATGCCGACGGCGCGGCGAGCCTTTCGTCGTCGTCGTCGTCGTCGTCGTCGCCCGTCTCGGGGACCTCTGAGCACGGCGACGGGAACGCGGGCCCCCGTGGGACGAGCGTTGGCCCACGGGCGACGGACGATCGCGGAGCGGCCCCCGTCGCGCCGTCGCTCTCGAGCGGCACGGTGCCGTCGTGGACGGACACCAAGCTCATCACGACGGCGACGGCGCACACGGACGGGCCCGCCGCCCACTTCCACTGGCTCCTGCGGCGCGCAGACATCGCCTGGATCGTCACGGCCATCACTGTTGTCGTAGCAACCTCCGGTGAGCGTGAGCAATTCATTCGCCGATAGTTTTGAGCCGCGAATGCCTCCGCGCCCAGATGTACCGTCATCACCGCCGCGATCGAAATTCACTTCACGAGCGTAGCCCTTTGGCAGTTTGTATCGGAGGAACTCCTTCCTGGCTCGTCACAATACAATCTGGCCACGGCTTGCACTCACAAAAGGTACAATTTTTAAATGGAATAACTGCCGGCACATTTCATTTCTAACATTTGACCGTTATCTGGCATGCAGTGGTCTAGCGTTGCAATTATTGCCATTGCAAGTTTCATTGCCAGATGATGAATTTGTATGCAATGTGATTCCGGTGCAGCATTAGGTTGCTGATGTATTCTCGCCTGTCAAGCATGTCGGGTAACTACTAGGTCACAGCCAACCCTTGTACGCTTGCGTTTGTCATGTAGAACATTGGTGAGGTGCTTACTGCTTAAGAGTGCACAGCTTAACGAAGCAGACAATACAGATTATAGTTGTGCGGCATCTACACCGGACCGCGTGATGTAGACGCTGTGGAGAAACACAGTAGATAGCTGTTCGTGGCGCAGAGCTGCAAAGCTTAAGATTCATGGTGCCGTCATGACACGGATACTATTCATTGCCACGGCACGTGTGATGTAATGAGAAAGGGAGCAGTGCACATTTACCCGGCAGTGGCTACAGAGCTTCACAGCTGTGCAGTGTCTAAGTTCATTAATTTCTTCGTGTTTACCCGAGTAGGCCCCACTGAGTCTCAATAATATTTGTCAGGAACATCCTGCCGAGTCGATTTTGTTTTACAGCAGTTGATGTTGCTACGCGTGATCCCAACTGAGTAAATTTACAGGTACAGTTTTCGGCATTGCTATATTTGGCCAATACCAGTGACATTATATTGTTTTATTTTTAGCTACTGGAGGACACCAGAGAACCCAGACGAATCCCATGCAGAACATGGGGAGAACATACAAACTCCACGCAAAAAAAAGGTGCATGAGTCGGGCATCGAACCCAGGCCCTTCCTGCTGTAAGGCACCCTGACAACCAAAAGGAACACAGTAAGCCCTGTGATTATGGTCACTGCTGCTGCGTTGTTTACAATTGATTTGTGCCGATTCACACAAAGCTCATAGCGCACAAAGGGGCCAAGATGAACGCGAATCCATCCAAATAGAGCAGAGCACTGTACAGATGCTAGGGGCCCCCCTCTCATCGCGGCCGTTGCGTTGAATACAGATTCATTCGCTTTCCGCTCGTCCACTACGCATGCCTACTTCATCCTGTACGGTATCAGACACACAGCACATCATAGGTGTAATCTTCGGTCTGTCCTTTGCTCGTATTCTGCGAATAAACCTCAAGGTTGGAGGTCGTGGCTTGAGGTCAGGTCGGTGCGGAGAGGCGGGATGTGCGGGCTCGATGACATCGCACAATATTTTGCAGGGGAATTGGAGCTTCTCGGTTTAAGGCGTTGACAACTATTGCAGCACGGGAGCAGGCGTTGCGATCGTTTCGCGGAAGTAAAACGTTCCTCGGCCATGGGATACCACGTCTCAGAGCGGTCACACAACGGAGGCTTAGCAGATTTCTGGCGACTGTGACACGCTTTGCGCGCACGGGCCAATAGGAGAAGCTTGTCCTGTACGAGAAGAAAAAGACAACAGTGAACATCTTATTTTCACGTGGAAAATAATCTATCGACTTGCCGTGTGCTTATGTTGTATACAGTGCAGTCGTTACATTTATAATGAAAATGGGGACAAATCCCCTGCTGGGAATCACCTGGCAGTGACTAAAACACCCATTTATAAACTGAAAACACAACTCAAAGCGTGACTAAATGTGGTGTTATTACCCACGGCATGTGCGATGACACTCCAATATCAAATACTTTGGAACAAAGTGATGTCTGATTTGCAGTGAAACATATACCGTGGATACATACACAGAGGCGAAGATCCCTGTTAGTCCAGATGGATTATGTGGCGAGTGCTGTTATCGACCACCAATTGGGGTGAGCTAAGTGTTTCTCGTGACCACATCACGTGGAATGAACCAGAACTGGAACTCTGTGCCAGGTTGAGGCTGAATCGCGCTTGCACCGGTGAGCACCATGCACGGAACGTGTGTTGTAGGCTGCTTCGGGGCTATGCTGTGGGCGGCAGAGGGCAGTGCAACTGATCCCATTATTATTATTGGGTTTTTTCGGTAAAGTCACAAAGGTAAAAAATTAAAATAAAAATAAAATAAAAATCACGACGTTTCGGAGGCACTTTACTTGATACAGCTATCGTGCTGTGACTGTTCCACCTGAAGAAGGAGGCTTGTGTTGCCTCCGAAACGTCGTGATTTTTATTTTATTTTCATTGAAAAATTTTTACCTACGTGACTTTACCGAAAAAACCCAAGAATATGAATCTTTGCAGTCACGAAAGCTTCAAATCTATAAAGATTCCATTATTGTTCTGTACTTCTACACTGCCCACCTTCACCAACCCAAAGCAGCCAGTGTCGTGATGTGTTGTCAAACAACATCTGCGATTTGACAGACATGGGGGGAGGTGAGGCCTTCATTTCGCAATGTAATAGCAAATGTTGCTAAGTACTAAATTTTGACTGAAAACTTTCGTGACTGCAGGAATTCATATTCTTTGGTTCTTTCGGTAAAGTCACATAGATAGAAAAATAATAATAAAGTGAATAAAAATGAAAATAATTAAAATAATGAAATAAAAAATTTTAATAATACATCAAAAGAAAGTACTGTATAGCTCTATATGTGACCATTAGTCCATGCTACTGAAACCCGAGTTGTATGTATGTATGCACATTGAACTTCTTTCACGCCGTACATAGCCAACCGTGCGGTGTGGTGACGCTAATCGGAATCGTTTGACACGCAGGGATGACAAACTCGAGAATGTAAATGCCTTGCGCTGCCACGCGCGTGCCGTTCCGTCAGTTCTAGGAGGCGTGCTGTGTGTGTCCCGGCGGAGGAAAGAGGCCTCTCACGAGAGGAACCTGAGCTACTGGAACGAGGCCATCACCCTCGACTATTTCCGGCACGCGGTCCAGCTCCCACAAGACCTGCCCTACGGGACGCACCCCACGGTGAGGGCCGGTTGACCGACGTTCGTTTTGGTTCGCGAAATCTTGGGTGGTCATCGTTGGCTGCAATGTTAAAAATAAATGTGAAATTATTTTTTTTCAATAAAAAAAAATTACGATTATTTTTGTATATATATAACGATGACCGCGAGTGGATGAAGCATGAAGCAGACTACGGCAGACTATGGCGAGCCAAAATTATCTCGTCTGAATGAAGACGCAGGCTGAGATAATTTAGCCGCATTTTGAGCGGCTGCGGTACATTGAGGAAGACTGACAATGGCTCTATATGTGTGCAAGAAACGTTCACCGAATTTAGCGATTTGGTTGACGTGTTCTTACTGGGGAGAGGGCGAATTGCAAGCCTCTCGCACCAACATTTAATATATCAGAGTGTCTGACTAAACTGTTGCTTTGTCGACCAGAGAGAGAGAATGACTGAGTAAAATCCACAGGTTTTAGGGTCGACTCAAATTGCACGTGTTGTTATCAACGAGGCTATGACGACGACTAGAGTCAAAATTGCTGATTAAATCAACGGTGGTTAGGACCCAAGTTATTGCAAATATCAGGGCAGATATGTGCCACCGTGCATTATGGCATGGCTTCCCAAAACCCAGGCCACAAATTCCATGCCTCGTGCCACGCCACAGCTTGACTGTGCACACTGTACGCGACTGATAATGCGCAAGGAATTAAAATCTGAACGGGGTGACATGTGCAAGTTGAAGTTTGCACAAAAACAACGGTTTATGTCCCATACTTTTCAGTTTGTGCTCACCAAAAGTAATTGAACAATGAGTGGGTTTTTTTACTGTCAGCTGATACAGAAGTCACATATTAAGCAACCACACACAAGAGAAAAGTAAAGTGTGTGCGTAAAAGTACACGTATAGCCTTTTGCCAATCCACTTTTGGATGGTTTCCCCATACCGTGTACATCGTGGGGGTTAGTTGACCATACTTCGCCACGCTCAGTGAGGGTTGGTAAAGGCGGGGAGAATACTCATGACATATAAGTACAGTACAACGATCGATTTTACTGCCGTAACCTCTGCTGCCCACCCCATCGCTCCACAGTCACCTATGACAACCTGACATGCGTGGTGGTCGCTCATCCGTGGACGATTCAAGCTCAACTCTGCTAATCTTCCGAGATCTCATGAAATCATTCCGGCTGATTTGCTTATAGCCCTACAGTGTGTGATTTGTTTGTTCCGAACATTCACGTCTCGCTGTCCCGTCATGCCAAAAATATATACAATCATACCGAATTCTCATAAGTATTCATGATTCGTCTGCACAAGGCTTGGTGACATGTGAGTCTAAAAGATTGGGTCCTGAAGCCATGATATTTCAGCAAATGCCAAGACTCACACATTGCGTGTGTATGTGTACATGTAGGGAGCGGTCGTGTTTCATTTAGCGTGTGCTGTGCTACGAACCCGGCGACCCGAGTTCGATTCCCGCTCACGACCGACACCAGTGACGATTATCAGAACTGGTCCTGGGCCTCCCCTAGGTCGAGTCCGCCTAAAATCAGTGCCCAGTGTGGTGTGTAAACATCGCAACTGGGAATACAAAGGCAGCCAGGCGTGGGGCTGGCCACAGACCCCCTCGGCCACCCGTCCATATAGGCAAACTCGGCAGTCGCCTAGGGCGCCAAGTTAAGTGGGGTGCCAAATTGGATAAAAAAAAAATACAAATAAAATAACAAATATGTCATTATTTCAATTCCCATGCGCGTACAGTGGGAATATGAATTATAATTGATTTCTCAACATTTCTGAGAATGTATTCACGTAAAATATTTTATTTACTGCAGAAAAAATACTGAAATATTCTGAAAATTTAGTGTCTCTATTTTATCTGATCTCAGAAACAATGGTTGAAAAGACGGATGGATGGAAAAACCGAATAACGATGCCTCTGTATGAAAAATAAAAATACATTGATACTAGAAAAAACAGGTCCCATTATAATTGTGCCTCTGTTTAAAACAATACGCTTATAAGAAACATTAAACGGAAAGTAGGGGCAAAATGTTTCTCAGTTTACCAAAAACCTCAGCCTAGATCTGCCCTTGGGGTTTGGCGGTGGGGGCGCCGATTGCACGGCTCGCCTCGGGCGCCAGTTGCTGGCAGCTAGTCTAGGGCCGCCCCTGTGCTCGTTAGTTAACAGCACTTGCCCCAACAGTCTGTCAAGGCTATACATGGGGGTTGCTTGTCTTTGTTTTGTGTGCGTGTGCACATCAGGTGGCAACTATATCGCTGGACGAGATGGCTCTACCAGAGGAAGACGGAGGCCTCACGTTCATCAACACGTTTGCAAAGGGAGTGACGTTCGCGGACGGGCACAGAAGCACGGAGCTGTGAGCCGGACATCACGCAGCCATCTCGCTTTCCTTCAGGCGCCGTTTTACTTTCACCGCCGCGGAGTCCAAAGTCCTCCGGGGCCGAGTGACGGTCGCCTCCGCTGAGCGGCGAACTTGGCCGGAGGCTATCGCCGCCGCTGTACCGCAGCGGTGTTCACCAAGTTGCTCGCTCGTCGGCCGAGGAGAGGGGAGAGCCGAGCGCCGCTCCCGCCACGATTGACGCACGCGCCAACGGAGCGCACGGCGCAGGCGGTCCTCGCGTGAGCAGGGCGAAACTTTCTGGGGGGGGGGGGGGGGGCGGCGCGCTCGACGTCAAATCTGGAAGGAGTGCGCAAGAGGGACTTGGCCTGCAGACGCGAAGCCATATCAGGAGCAATAAGCTATGCACGTCTCGAGGGACGCGCGTCGCTCGCGGTTAGGACCAGGGTCTCGGGCTCGCCGCGGACTCTGCACGTGGTGCGCACACGCGGGGGGGTGGGGGGGGGCGCGAAGAGGCGTCCACGTGATACGGATTCTGTGACATTGACCCCCTTGTGGCCTTGTGGTTTGACTGTTGAGCTGGGATGGTTTGCGGCACGCGGCCGGGGGGGATTGGGCGCCCCCGGGGTCGATGCTCGCCGCTGCGCGTTATTACGCCCGGCTGCTGGGTCTCTGTCTGTGCGCACAATTGGCGGTGGTTACGTTTAGCGATCAGGCGAGGTTGGAAGTGTGTCAAGAACAGGGCTTGTTGGGGCGTCTGGTAGCAGCAAGTAGGGGAAGCAAATACGAGAGAACAACAGCCAGTCCTGCATACTAACGTTCATGAAGTTACTTAGGTAAGAGTGTTTGTCAAGTAAATTAAGGACCTGCTGAGCACTGTTTCTAGATTCCCATACACAAAACCCTTCTCATAGAGCTGATTAGCAGATACATGTATATTTTAAATATCCTCCCATTAGTTTGGACATAATTACGTCACAGAACTTAAACAGTGACTTTGCACCTGGAAAGTATTTGTTTGGAGACACGATGACAGAGATCGCATCGCAAGTTGTGGTTTAGAGTTGAGGATGCATCTCATTTCACTGGGTTTTACAGCGGAGTCTAGGAATGGTCTTCTCTGTCCCTAAGCTGTTTCTCACCATAACCGTGACTTACAAATATCCCCTTACAGCAAGCTGTTAAATGTAAATATTGTTTTCATAGTGCACATAAGCAGGCATTATATTTCACAGTCCTGCTCTTCAGGGAGATATATGTGTCTGTCACGGTTTGCTGTGATGTATGCAGGCGGCCGAGGTTGAGCAACGGGGAGTATGTCTGCGATCATCGGCTCAAAGTCACGGACATTCTCGATAAAGGGAGCAGGGCCACTCCGTAGGGTGATTAGAGAAGAGGACCCAGAGTAGTCGGGGATGCAGGGTTAAGGAAGGTACCGGTACTGAAAGCAACAGATACTCGAAGCAGTAAATCAAAGCCACCAGCCGCCTATTATGAGATAGATTGGTTTTGCAAAGTAAAATTTCAACAAATATTGTAACAAGTGAATGGGCTTGGGGGGGGGGGGGGGGGGGCGGGTGATTAATCTAACAATATTTAAGTGTGTGTATGTATGTTGAACTTCTTTCGCACCGTACGTAGCCAAGCGTGCTAATCGGAGGTGCAGGGGAAGACTGACAGATTAAACACAAAAAGCAGTTCTAAAGAAATGAGTTTTCAATCGAGATGATTTAAAAGTGCCATGGCTCCAGCGGCTCCCTAACATCGGGAGAAAGAGCGTTCCAGACGGCCGTGGGCAGTCGAGCGCAGTGTCTGTCTCGAGGGAAGTGATGGAAGAGGGCTAGAGGTATACGTGCGCATCCTGCGTGCGGACGCAGGTCGGTGGAGACGCGACGTGCGGACGGTGGTGACACGGTCGCCGCAGTTTGCCTGAATCCGCGGTGCCGTGTGAGGAACCATTCTTTTCTGTTCACGTCTGTGCCAAAATTTCCGTGAAGTTTCTCTCTTCTTCTTTTTCTTCTTCTTCATTTCAACTCGCATCTCATTTGCTCCACTCAGTACGTGTTTTACTGAATAATACAACTCATAATTATAACGTTACAGTATTAATAAAAAAGAGGAACATGTTCAGAGTCGGTAATATGATGTTTTCTATGGATAAAATTGTATGTTTGTGCTTAAACTGGCAGTGGTGTGTCTCTTTGGTTGTTTTTTTTATTCAAGGGAAAGACATGAAACATCACAGCAATGTTCACTGCACGCAATCCTACACAAGGCACGCAGCACAAGTCTGGACTCTCTGCTAACTGCCATACCATTTGTAGAAAAACACAAATTAATGTTCTTTACATTTTACATGAATGTGGATATTAAGATTTACATTTTGCTGGTAGGAACCTCCTGGTTCCACCAGCCCACAGGGGATTATTGTGTCCGTCGTGCAGGGAGGAGCTGGGTGGGGAGGGGAGGGTGGGGAGGGGCTGGGTGGGGAGGGTGGGGCAGGGTGGGGAGGAGAGAGTGGGGAGGGGCTGGGTGGGGAGGGTGGGGAGGGGCTGGATGGGGAGGGTGGGGAGGGGCTGGGAGGGGAGGGTGGGGCTGGGTGGGGGGTGGGAGGGGTGGGGCTGGGTGGGGAGGGGCTGGTCACCCCGTGGTGCCCTTATAAAACTCAACGTTTAACCTACTCACGCCGGCTTGTGCCCGCCCTCACAGTCGGGCATATTTGCGGAATACACCACGCCGCCGTTGGCCCTGGCCATTGACCGAGCAACCCAACGTTCCTACCAGCTCCCTCCGCAGGAATGTGTTATTCTTCAGTGAACCTCGTTTTAAAAAATGAGTTCTTCTGAAAATGAAGGACAGCCAGCCAAAACGCCTGGATCTTTTATCCCCTCTGTGATCATTTTAAAAACCCCATTTTTTACACTTATAACATGAAACCAAAGCTGGAAAGTACATAAAGAAGCACGAAGAGGTTCAATCTGGAAATTAGCAAACGCAAATTAACATCAAAATTACGTTCAATAAAAGTTTTTGGCGGGACACATCGTATGTTGAACTTCTTTCGCGCCGTACGTACGTAGTCAACCGTGCGAATCGGAGGCATAGGTGAGAAGGGCCGACGGCGTTTGGAAGAGATGAGTGATGGACAAGAAGAAGAAGAAGACATGCCGGAGAGGATGACCACCGTCGAGTCTGAGCCATGAGATTAGCGTCTGTGAGGAGTGAGGATGACAGCGCCGCAAGACCTTGGGGCAGTGGCGACGTGGCCGAGACTGTCGAGTGGAACATTTCAGATAGTTTTGTTGGGAACAAATAATTTTTTTGCTATTTAAAAAATAAGGCATTTTTTTCACTTTCTTTTTTTCATCATTAAGTGATCTTTCAACGTAGTCGCGTACTATTTTCAGGTTTTACATTTAAAGCAGTCTAGCATTTATCAACCTATTTTGGACTAAACATATCGAGTGTTCGTGGCTATGCAGTCATACAAGTTTTAGCAGATGAAGCCAACACGCATGCACAGGCATGGTTTATATATATATAATTATTTCAAACGCGATGGAGATTTATGATTGACATATTGTCAGTTTCGCCAGCGGCCAGAGAATATGATGAAAATGCTCTCTGACACTTTGAGCCCACGGGGCAGACGGCACCTCTTGAGTGGAGGGCCTCTGCGCCGTATAAATCCCACCGTGCGCCACGCACACATCCCAGTGTCGGTGGCGACTGCTTGGTTAGAGCTCCCCCCCACTCCCCCAAACTGAGAGAGCCTTTGTCCTACGCAGACACATCTCCCCATAGCATGTCTTCATCTAGCTTCACAACTACCAACATATCGACCAAAGGGCCCTACGTCACCACAATGAGTACCCTGAAAGGTTTGGGCTCTGCTAGCGGTGGCGCCTACAGCTCCAAGAGCTTCTCCTTCGGTGGCAGCGGCGGCGGAGGCGGTTGTGGCGGTGGTGGCGGTAGCTTCGGTGATGGTGGTGGTGGTTTTGCCTTGTCTTCCTATGGCCGAGGTTATGGCGCAGGGGGTGGTGGGGGCGCCGCCGGACTCGGCTTTGGGCTGGCTCAGTTCGGCGGCGGTGGAGGAGGAGGTGGTGGCGGTGGAGGAGGTTTTGGGAGCAGCGCGTCCTTCCAGGTGGGGCGCTCGGTGGCGTCGGGCGGGCTGCATGGCGCCGCAGCGGCTTTCGGGGGGGGCCGCAGCCTGCCGCCGCTGGTGACGCGAGAAGGACAGAGGACCGTCCTGCGGTCTCTCAACGACAGGTACACTCGCGTGCACCTGGGTGGAGCCCCCGGCGTGTGGCCGCGTAGCTGCCGTTGAGTGCGCGGGCGGCGAAACTACATCTTGAGCGCAACGTGCGACAAGGCTACGATGAGCGAGGACAATTGGATGTGGCGTGGGGTGGGGGTCCCATTTCTTTTCATGCGTCAAGGTCCACGTCAACTACGCAGCGCCACTGAGCGGAGCAGGTGTCCCGTGGGATTCCAGTGATGGTGCATTTCACAATTGGCATCCCATGGCAAACAACATTTTGAAACCCCGTTGTCGTATGTAAATAATTAAAGCGAAAATGTTTAATGGAATAATTTATAGATACCCCACCGAAATCAGAGGTATACATGTTATTGTTGTTTTTAAGTTCATGCAGGGGAACGTCACGATGCAACGTAATAACAATGCTTTCCTTTTTTGTTGAAACTTTATGCATGACCTATGGGTATTCAAATGTAGTACATTGTATTGTTCCTACTTACGAACCGGTCGACTTACAAACGAGTCCCCAGGAACGACTTATACTCGTAAGTCGAGGACTGCCCCTAAATAAATACCCCTTCGTGCGCAGTGCCGGCAATAATAGCTGCTCTTTAACAGAATTTGCGCCTCCACTACAGTCCTGTATGGCTTGTACACACGTCCCCTTTTTCTTTCCCTCCGGTTCAAACCGGTTTGAGTCGGTCAGAAACGATTTGAACATCTCGCGCGCGGTGCACTAATCACGACACGTTACCCCCATCGTTGTCCGCGACGCAACACGCGCCGCCTCCCTGCGCAGGTTCGCCGGCTACATCGAGAAGGTGCAGCGCCTGCAGGAAGAGAATGTGCAGCTCGAGGCACACCTCAAGAGCCTCACCGGCGGGGTGAGCGTCGCTCCCGTGGACGCCAGCGAGCTGGCCGGAGACCCCACGGCCCGCTTCATGGAGCTGCGCGCCGAGTTCGACGCCCTCGTCCTCGCCAACGTGCAGCTGGAGATCGAGCTGGACAACCTGCGAGCCTTCGCGCAGGAGATGAAGGCCAAGTGCGTTCGT